CAGACATGTAGACACACTTAGCTATTTCAGCTTTCAGTTGTTCTTCACTCATGGACGTATCGAACATTCCTGGAGTGTCGATCACTGAGATGATTCTGTCCTCCACTGTTGTCAGATGTCTTTGACAATGACTAGTAATAGACTTAGATGACATACCACTCTTAAACACAAAGTTGCAGATGATGGTGTTTCCTGCTGAACTCTTTCCTGTTCCAGTCTTACCCAACAGCACAATCCTGAGACCTGATAAAGAGAGAGGAATTTAAGATGTTATTTACACTTCAAAAGCTGATAACTTCACATTTGCCTTTGCTCACTATGGGGCCTCAGCAAAACTCCAGGGGGCCTCAAGAAGATTTAAAATAAGACAGAACAAAAATATATAAAATAAGTTAATTAGCAAATTTTTTATATAAAATAAGTTAAGTAACATTGTTTTTGTCAGACTCTGTTCCGTGTTTTGTGTGTTTTGCTCCCCATGTGCCTTCCTTGCCCTTATTTGGTTTTTCTTGTTCCTGTCCCTGATTAGATCTTCATTTGTTTACAACTGTGTTTTTTATCTGGTCTGATCTAAAACTCAACTGCCCTCATGTTTTGCCACAAATAGCAATCGCAAGTAAATTTGTTTTCATCTTTGCAGGACTGTGATATGAAGAGTGTACAAAGTAACACATCTATAGCAATAGTGTGAAAGTGCATAGCACATAACATGCACAATACCAGTATAAACACGGATATCTATTGGTATAATATACATCACATGACTAAACTTGCATCATCGTTTTTAAAAGCCTCCGTTTTCACAGTCCACACTACAACGCGAAAACGGCGTTTTCAAATTTATCCACTCAAAAAGCTCAGTTTTCCTTGATTAAAAACGCCGTCTCAGTGTGGACGGAAGGCCAAAACGGAGAGAAAAAGATGCGTTTTCAAACGAAAACATATTAGTGTGGACAAGGCCTTAAGCCCTGTGTTTCCCTGTCTCTAGCGTCTGCTGTCAAACGTCTGTTCTCCATGCTACGTGTGCGTTATGCCTGTATGTGAGTCTTTATTAATCCAAATGAATTGCTCCCTGTGAATTGCTCCGACTTCTCGCTTCCTGACACAGTAGCAGTAGCCGAATCGTGACAGTTTTCATAATTAACATAATTTAATTAACATTATTTACCCCCTCAACAACTTTTTTTCCATCGAAGAACCAGGGTCCCCATCGTTTTGAATAACTTGTACATACTGTATGAGGTCACCTAATTTTAAAAGTGTAATATCTAAAACTGGAAAAGTCATGGTAACGGTACACCAGGATAGTCCATAACCAGATGTTGGGTGGTTCTTTGCCTACATACCATGTTTTTGTTTGCCTCCAATTAATGCACACCAAGTCATAGATTATCACTTACATACATATATCATTGACCTTTTTATTTGAAATCTCAGAATTAAAAGGAACAAAAAAAAAAAGGCTTAATATTTACCAATGTTTGAACTTTCCCTAGCAATCTGTTGTATCAGTCCTTTCATCTCTTCCTGACTTTCCATCTGTTTCCTGAGATGTTCCTGGTCTGAGACAGAGAACATGTCACTTTAAATCGCTGTGACTGTAAATGCATTACTGCTATAGCTGTACATTTCAGATACTTTACTTTGGACAAAATGAGAACCATTTCTGGCCAGCTGGGGAACATAAGTTCAGTTATTTCCTTGTTCTTGTTTCTGATCATTTTGCTTAAAATGACTGTGCCTTTCTCAAGAATAAATAAATAATAAATGAATGAGCGAATGAATAAATATAAAGTGTGCTTATTACATCCACAGTAGCTATGTAATGCATTTACTGTGTATTTTGTTGAATATCAGTAACATTGTTAGAACACTCAGTTGGACTGAATGGCACAGCTTACTCATGATTGTAAATATTTGACCTGTATGTTTGTTATACTGTGTATTAAAATGCATACACTCTTCTTTCATCATCATCATCATATGGTAATGTTACAGATAGCCTAATATTTAATTAAGGTACAGATGATTCAGTTTATCACTGCTTTCATGAACCCAGAGCATAATATAGGTGAATCATTCTAAACCCTAATACAAATTCATTTAAATGAATATAAAATACAATTGAAGTTAAATAAATGAATAAACTGGCCTTTACATATTGATGCCATTATTTAGTTTTAAATACTGTGCTGAGAGTGTTAACCTTACTGATGATCTTCGATTACAGCATAACAAAATGAACAACGGAGAAAGAAAGGAGCGCTTCACTCAAAGAGGCAAATTGTTTTAATTTAGTTTGGTGTTCTAAAACTTCTGCACCTTTTTGCTTTTTTTATTGTGATTCTTGAAGGCAACGTTCGTCTAGAATAACACTGGAACTAGTTCTGTGTACACTGCAAATACGCACGTAGGCCTAGTTCTACACACAACATGTCTTGGTTGGTTTTGCATGCAAGTTTAATGAAAGCATATCTTTTAACTGACCTGAATGTTCACTTGCAGATTTTCTATGCATGTTGTCCATACTTTCGCCGCTTCTGTATATTTTCTCTCTCTCTCCTTGCTGTGACCTTGCAGTAAACTATACACAATGTTTACTTTCACTTTTAACAAAACAGGGTGGAGTGAAAAGAAGACATGTCACAAGTCAGTGTATGTTGGCTCGTGAGAAGGTTTTTCAGTGAGAGTAAACAATATGGGTGTGTGATGAAATATTTGATATCCTATATAAATCATTTGAAGTTACTTTGTATGTTTTTTGTAAGCTATTCTGCCATGTAGCCTACAGTATGAGAGCCAGGTGCATTTTGAAGGCCCCAAATTGACTGCACTTACGAATAGACAATACAGAAGGAAGTACTGGAGAAGGGAGATGCTACAGGATGAGATGGTGTGGAAATTGATAAATGTGTGTAAAACTCATTAAAACCCTCAAATGTAACCTAAAGATCTGCTTATGATAAATTAGCAACGAATGTTAGATCATGTGAAAACAAAATATTGAATTCGGGAGAACATTGCCCGTGTAAGTGGCAGGAAGGATCAACTCAGTGAAGATGGTAGTACTCCCATGATTTTTGTACATTTTTCAGTCACTCCCTTGTTTTATCCCACAAAGTTTTTTTTAAGCGGCTAGACACAATAATTGTACCTTTTGTGTGTGTGTGTGTGGAATTATAAGAATGTGAGAACATCAAAGAAACATTTATGCAAAACTAAAAAGGAGGGCGAGTTTGTCAAAAGGTTGAGATTCGCTGCTGTAGTCGAGTGAAAAACCAGATTGTGGCATAGGTTCTTTCATCCTTTGCTGGGAATAATAGAGGAGAATAACAGTAATCTTCAAGTAATCTAACAAGTTGGTAGCTGATGTAGTGATTTTGCTTTTGCCCACCTAGGGAGGCGAAATAATGTAGTGATGGGTATGACACTGATGACGGTATGATTTTTGGATTTATGCACAGGAGTGCTTGCTGTTGAAAGGAGCTGCACAGGGTTGTGTAAGGCTCTGTATGGGCTGATGAGGCAGATGTCTCTTTCCCATCCATGATCAGATTCCAGTCTGACCGCAGCAGTGAGGGACGTGATGGACGGCAGAGACAGGTGAAGGTGGACTGCTTCATCAGAATAAAGCTGCAGAACTGGAACAGCTGTGTTGAGATGGCTGTAGGACGTGGCTTCACCATCTGTAAATAGCTTACATGATTGTTAGAACAAGAAGTCTGAATAAAGCTTCGTTTCATGTGTTGTTCACTTGTATGTATTTATTGTGATGCTTACTTGTATTCATCCTTTTAGTCATTTATTCATGTTTCCTATTGTTGTCAGTAAATAAAATATAATTATTTCATTCATTCATGCATTCATTCATTGCTTGACTGAAAAAGGATGTATTAACATCGGTTGCATCTGTCTAACTAGTAACTAATAGCTGTAATATGACAAAGCAATCCATCTTCAATCCATGCCGGCAAAAAGTGATCAAAAGGATTTCGATAGACCAAACCGTTTTGGAATAACACACCAATTAACTTTTTGGCATCACGCCAAGCTGATTCTGAGGCTGCAACTCTTCAATGCTTTGGCATATTAACACAAAACCTCTTATGTGTTATTGTCATCTCACACTGACAACACCATAATAATTTGATAACAGTGCCACCTATTGGTCAAAAGTGATAAGCAGGTACATCGTATTACTATTTTTCAGCCATTCCGACTATAATATTTTAAAAAGGTCTCTATCCAGTCCACATTATCTTTAAGGTGTCTAGTATTAATATATGAATTCCCATATATTCAGTTTTGTTGAGTGTTGTCACAGAACGAGTAAACATACTGACGGTCACAATAGTGACCGGTGGGTCCACAATGCATTTAGGTATAAATATAAATCCAATTGCAGTTGTTAGTGAAGGTTGCACTAACATATTGCACTAAATTAAAAGTTCAAATGTTACAAATTAAGTTACAATATTGATGGTGTAAAACTGGCAGCACTAATATAACAATGTGATGATATATGTTACAATAAAGTAACAATTTTGAAATATGTTGATGGTTGTATTTGTTTTTTTATCTCAGTATTACTAGCAGAGTTTAGAGAAACAAATAACTTCTGCCCGGTAACAGGAGCAGCCACAACCCCAGATTTATTTCAACAAAATAGTGAAAATACAGTTTCTATAGTGGACTCTCTTCTCAGCTGTACATGATCGGAAACATTCATTTACAACAAAACATACGATAAAAAAAAACTTTATGCTTATATATCATTAATACAATCAATGCTGTTCGTAGCAAAACAACACGCACTAAAAAATAACAAAAAGAAAAGCATCTGGGTCCAAACAGGTAAAGTAAATGATAAAAATGTAATACTCCAGTTATGTCCCTTAATATAATACATTTATTTGTTTCATTTCAACCCTATACATCTAAGGTTTAGTTCATGTACAAATGTATCTTTTTGCTTACAGAGAGCAACGACTATTAAACCATTTGCATTCTATACAAAATGTCCCGTCCAAAGAGCATGAGCTAACAAGGAATGAAAATGCACATCTAGCATATAAATATATTTTCCCTTGACAAGCAGTATCGATCTCACTAACTATGTACAACGACAGGAGTAGCAAATCCAATAGCTGAGACTGTACAAATCAGACGACGCATCCGCACCATCCTTATTGCGTAAAAAACAGGCAGCGCAGCACATTTCAGCGAGAAGAAACACTGTAAACTGAGAATGTGTGTAAACACGTCAGATGCTGAAATCAAGCGTCGCCGACGAACCGTCCTGATCTCACAAAGCTTGTTCGACTTCACAAACAAACCAGAAGAGAGTGCATCGTTAAAGTACCATAGAGGTTTGTCTCTGAAGCATATTTGATCTGGGTTGGATGCAAGAGGTGCTGCATGCACACGGTGTGATGCTATATCAAATCTGTTTTCTCCGAGAGGAACCGAGCGGATGGTGAACAGTGCATGTGAGAGAAAAATAAGATGTCAGCTTAAGGAAACATTTGGAGAGACAGAGGTGGCTTCTTCACCAGTCGCTGAAAACGTCCGTCTCGAGTTGGTCGATGATCAAGAATAGGCTTGTTTTGTCGTTGAATGACCTCAAAGATGCTGCAAACCTGAAGAGTACCTTCTCTGGCACGAACCTGGATTGTAAAGCATGAGTGTCCGTGAAGCGCCGACGTCCGGTCAAACGGCAGAAACCTGCTCATCTGAAACACACAGGAGGACAAGCACATGAAGTTGAGTGCAAACCATCACTGCTTCGTCAACACTGACTGACGGCAACGCTATTCACACTCGATGGCACTAAAACGCATCCAGGCCACATTTCACCCCAATGTAAATAAAGATAAAGGACTTATAGCTTGTGTAAAATAAAGCCTATTTTGTACGATGACTGGCTCATTCAGTTGGACTGTAATGAGTTTGTGCGCTCGCTGAAGAAAAACGTATCGTTTAGGGTCCGTTCACACAGAATGTGCTACTTTTCTATAGTTTTTCTATGTAAATGCACTAGATGGATGTGTATGACGGTCTCGCGTCTTTTGCAGCATCTCGCACATAAAGTTAAAAGAATTTCAACTTTTACATGCAGCGCCACTCATCAATGTCAGTTGGAAGACCCCAGAGGCGGAGCCAGTGTTGCAAGCTTTTGTTTACAGTAGCAAGTTGGCATTACAACTGTTTTTAGATGCAAAGGCGCTTTCTGTGTGAACGGCCCCTTACACTGTAAAGCATTTCTATATCACCGTAGTAAGTGAATAATATATTAACAAACCCTTCTGGAAAACCCTTCAAAATAAAGATAGGAATAAAACTGTAAAGTTTGGTGTACGTAAGTACTGCTGAAGTGGAGATTTCTGGCTCAGGAATCTTTTAAAGATATGTAACTGAAAACTACAGACGCAAATAGATGAAGTGCATTAAAATAAACTCCCAGCAGTCACTCATTCTAGCCCTTAAAACTCAACGTCGTTAATCAAACTGACATTTTTAAAGTTTTTTTCCCCAGTGAAAATAATTGCTTTAAGCCTGAAAAATATGCAAATTAGCCCTGCTTCCAGCCAATCACTCCAGCTCAGACTACCTTCTCCACTTTCACTGTTAACTGTAGTATTGGCAAAATTGCATTAATTCAGCCATATACAGTATGTTTGAAACAGAAACTGATTCTGAAGAAGAGGCAGAGTGAATTATCCTAATTTACAAGTCCATGTATCAGAATTGTAATGCATTTTATGTACCTACAATAGCAGAAATGTAACATAATTGGCTTGACTACAGCTAATAATGTGTTGCTTCAAACCTTGATTTTCACCAAAGGGGGTCTTTAATTCTTTCCCCGCTATTGACGGAATTTTCCAGCTTTCCGTGTTTTCACTGTAATACAGTAGGGGGCGCTATTACGCATCTTCTGAAAGAGTGCTGAATCTCTGGATCAAAACACGACGAAGAAGAAGCAGCAGAAACAAGCGATCACATATGTAAGCAGATGCATACGTAAAATAACGCGATCTTTAAACAGCATATAAATCAAACCTGCCTAACTATACCAAGAGAAATGTCAACCTAGGAGGGACTGTGTTTAGGACTATGAAGCTTTGGGGGTGTTGATGGAAGCAATCAACTCCATCTGCATTTTGATCATTGTCCTGAATCTGATCCAGACGTAATCTTTGACAAAAACGTGATTTTCTCAGCTTTTTGTGCAAAATGTTTTTTGTTTTTTTTAATGAAACACCCACATTCAAGTGCTGATAAAAAAAAATGCATGAAGCTAGAATAAAATGTTTTTGTTTGTTTGTTTTTTTTAAGAGCAGAGGCTCTGTTCTTTCTTTTAACATATTGCATGTTCAGATATTCATACAACAAAATATTCCGGAGGCCATGAAAGTTTTATGAAAATGATCAAAAATGCTGCCTTTAAAAAATAAAAAACCGCTGGTGGGGAAAGAGTTAAAAGGGTATTTTAGTTGCTTTCTTTCCATTAGTCTGAAACAACACATTACAAAAAGCCAAATAGCCCAAAATCAGAAAATTGACCAATGCATGAAAAAACAATGTAGTGTCCTGCTTTAATATCAGCTTCACAAAATATACTAGCGTAATGTAGAAGTAGTCAAAAATCATATTTTGGTAGTGTAAGATACCATTTAGTTGTTCGGATTGAGGGGTGAAATGTGAGCCGGACACATATGTAAGCAGATGCATACGTAAAATAACGCGATCTTTAAACAGCATATAAATCAAACCTGCCTAACTATACCAAGAGAAATGTCAACCTAGGAGGGACTGTGTGTAGGACTATGAAGCTTTGGGGGTGTTGATGGAAGCAATCAACTCCATCTGCATTTTGATCATTGTCCTGAATCTGATCCAGACGTAATCTTTGACAAAAACGTGATTTTCTCAGCTTTTTGTGCAAAATGTTTTTTGTTTTTTTTAATGAAACACCCACATTCAAGTGCTGATAAAAAAAATGCATGAAGCTAGAATAAAATGTTTTTGTTTGTTTGTTTTTTTTAAGAGCAGAGGCTCTGTTCTTTCTTTTAACATATTGCATGTTCAGATATTCATACAACTAAATATTCCGGAGGCCATGAAAGTTTTATGAAAATGATCAAAAATGCTGCCTTTAAAAAATAAAAAACCGCTGGTGGGGAAAGAGTTAAAAGGGTATTTTAGTTGCTTTCTTTCCATTAGTCTGAAACAACACATTACAAAAAGCCCAAAATCAGAAAATTGACAAATGCATGAAAAAACAATGTAGTGTCCTGCCTTAATATCAGCTTCACAAAATATACTAGCGTAATGTAGAAGTAGTCAAAAATCATATTTTGGTAGTGTAAGATACCATTTAGTTGTTCGGATTGAGGGGTGAAATGTGAGCCGGATGTGTTTCTCTGGCCTGCAGGGTTTGAGCACATACCCTCCTCACTATCAGCGTGAGAATGGAGAGTAACACTGGGTGGTCTGGACAGGTTGGGCTCGGCGAGGCTGTGTCGCAGCTTGCACCTCTGCAAGGCCACGCTATACTCGGGCGGCTTTACGTGGGTCGGCCGCGAGGCTCCTCCGTCCTGCGCGTCGCCCAGCGTCAGGCCCTGGTAGCCCGGCGGAGTCGGGGGCGGCGCTTTGAGCCTATCGTCTTTGCAGGGTGACGTTACACAGTACACTGGCAGGAAGCAGGCGGAGAGGTGCAGGAAGTGACGTGATGAAGGGGAAGGAGCACAGAAAGAAACAAAACACACACAGACACACATACATAGACACAAAGCAAACATTAATGAATGAAAAGGGGTACTTAAATCAAAAAGACGTTCACTAAGACACTGACACAGCTGCACCAATCACAACACAAGCAGATTTGCATTAACCCTCAGCCGCTTGACACAAACAGGGCACAAAACACTTCTTCTTCTGCAGTAAAATATGTTTCTGATAGAAGAAAATGAAATAGATATCATGTAAAAACAACACGGGAATGTGTCATAGGGTCGTGGGGACTAGTAAGTAGTTTATAGCTACTGATAATGAAATTCATTAATATAAATATAGTTGTTTAATCATGTGTGTTCTTGCTGACAGGACTGAAGAGACACAGTCACTCTAGGATAATCACTTCCTGTGTGACACAATTTATAGAATGCTCCATTGTTTTTCAATGGGTGGAATTTTGTGTTAACAGCTGAATGCTTTTGGTCATTAAAATAAGTGAATAAAGAATCATAGTCTTCTATTATGACGGCTAATTAAATGTAGAAAATGTTAAACACATTTGTGACCCTGCAGCACAAAAGCAGTGTTAAGTCGCTGGGGGATATTTGTAGCAATAGTCAAAAATACATTGTATGGGTCAAAATTATACATTTTTCTTTTATGCCAAAAATCATTAGGATATTAAGTAAAGATCATGTTCCTTGAAGATATTTTGTAAATTTCCTACCGTAAATATGTAAAACCTTAATTTTTGATTAGTAATATGCATTGCTAAGAACTTCATTTGGATAACTTTATCAATATTTAGATTTTTTTGCATCCTCAGATTCCAGATTTTCAAATATCTGTTCAAATGTATCTCGGCCAAATATTGTCATATCCTAACAATCCATACATCAATGGAAAGCTTATTTATTCAGCTTTCAGACAATGTATAAATCTCAATTTCGAAAAATGGACCCTTATGACTGGTTTTGTGATCCAGGGTCACATATTAGACTTTTAGACAACTGGCTATTTTTATCTTAACACACCAAATCGTATCTTCACTGATGCTTTCTGATGCAGTAATTGGTTCTTCTCGCTCACAACAATACCGACCATTATCTGAATCATTAATTACTTTTGAACACTCACGTGTGACAACCGATCATATTTACATTAATGCTTTTTGAGAATCGCTTCCTCTCAATTTAAACAGAACCGACCGACATTTGAATCTCTTAATTGTCTCTGATGATGAAACGTGTGTCCGGATCACTGCGGCACGCATATATGTGTGTTAGACAACACTATAAACAGGGATGCACATCAGTTTTTCAGTCTGGTTTTCATGAGACCACCTGGAGATTTGATTTGGTGCTCACACTGCACATAGTGTGACCAATTAACTATAAAACCATAAAAAAATAATATATATAGTAATAAATTAATAATAAATAATACATTTAATAATATAAAAACTAAATAATAAATAAAGTGTGATAATACTACTATATTTTATAATAAAAAGTGAGTATTAAATAAAAACACAATTATTTTATAGCAGGCTACACTTAAAAAATACAATCCTAATATTAAAATTTTTATATTTATTCATTCATTAATTTATTTGAAGTTTCATCCTTTTCAAACTTAAAACAGGCAAGTTTTTTTTATGTGCATCCCTGATTATAAATACAATATAGCTAGATCTAAATCTGGCGGATCACTCATATCATCGTTAAATATCGTCATATCACCTAGTACTAAAACTCGCTCTGTTAAAGCACTGAGGCATTATAGACACAACAGTATGACTTTCCGTAAAGCTGCTATGAAACCACGTGTATTGTGAAAAGCTGTATACAAATACATTTGACTTTGTCACACTATTATTTATTCGATTATTAAGGAAAGAATTGGAGGAAAAGAAGCAATGTTGCTGGTGATTTTGCTTTGGAACCTTCAGAAAACTTTAAATCAGTTTTTCTCTAAATTGACTTTGCTGACTCTATCGAATTCATACTTCAGGTTCCAACAAATCATACATCATTTGAAGGTATTTTGATGTAAAAAATATGTAAAAATAAAAATAACTCCTTTTTGAAAATGTGCTCATTGTGACTCATTTTGCCAGAAATGGTCACACATTTCACTTTGATTAAACTCATCACATGGTTACGTGACACCAGTTTGTGCCCTATTTGTGGAAAGCGCAGGACATCCTGGGTGAATCTTTCTACTGATTTAAGTGTCCTAGAAGCATCAAGACACAAACGAGCCAGAAGAGCTGCACATTTGTGACCCTGGACCACAAAACCAGTCATATAAGAGTCAATTTTTTGAAATTGAGATTTATACATCATCTGAAAGCTGAATAAATAAGCCGAATATTTGGCTGAGATACAACTATTTGAAAATCTGGAATCTGAGGGTGCAAAAAAATCTAAATATTGAGAATATCCCCTTTAAAGTTGTCCAAATGAAGTTCTTAGCAATGCATATTAGTAATCAAAAATTAAGTTTTGATATATTTACAGTAGGAAATGTACAAAATATTTTCATGGAACATCATCTTTACTTAATATCCTAATGATTTTTGGCATAAAATAAAAATCTATAATTTTGACCCATACAATGTATTTTTGGCTATTGCTACAAATATACCTGAGCTACTTACGACTGGTTTTGTGCTCCAGGGTCATATTTATCATCTAGCAGGAGGACAGTGAAATCTGCTGGTGTCACGCGCAGAAGCCGAAGCTCACCTATGAGTCCCTTCTCCGTGCTGGACGTGATCGTCTTGTACGAAGCGTCTGTGCTTTGCTGATTTTGCGTCTTGCGTTTGATGGTGCCGTAGCTGCCCTCGTAGGTGTCCGACAGGGAACTGGAGGACGTCCAGCTCTGTCTGGATTGACTGAGCTCAGATCCGTCTCTGGAGCAGCTGTCCTCTGGCAAACCCGGGCCGATCTCCACCTCGGCGATCGGGCCGCCCATGGGCGTGTGGCGATGGTTGAGCAGGTCCAGAGCTCGCTGGCCTGAAAGAGTCTGGAGGTTGTCGTGGGAGTTACTAGAGCAGGAGGTCCAGCTCCCGCGGCCGCTGTCGGCCAGCTCAGAGACGGAGGTTTGCTCGGGCACCGTCAGCTCCTCCGCGCTGCTGGAGAACATGAAGCTGGTCTCCCTCACGACAAGGTGTTGAGCTGAAGATGAACTGGGATGAAAGAAAAGCACAGTGACTAAACATACGTCGCATTCAGCTGCAAAACATGGTGCACGTTTAAAATATTCTCTAGATGTTTTATTCAATATATGCTGTACACATGAATTCAAATTGGTTTACATACTAATTTATCAATACACAAAAATTAGCATTTGAGTGATATTAGATGATAATCATGTGTTTAAAGAAAGGCAATAAAAAGATTTTGTGTCATTACAAGTAAAAATGTGTTAAATTTACATTTACATTTAAAAGCAGATTCTTTTATCCAAAGCAACTTACAAATGTGGACAATAGAAGCAATAAATAAATGAATAATGTTCCCATCCTTCCTGTGATGGACAGAGTTTACATTGCATTAAATGACAGATACAGTTTGTTGTGTAACCAAAATACCAATAATATCCAGAAAAAAAGAAACTATGCATAATGTGGTACTTTTAATCATAAACAAGCCCAGGACTATTATTTTGAAATGCTTTACTACTTTTAACTGCTATGACTTTTGTTATACCATTTAACAGAGTTTATGAAGATAAATTTAAGACCATAGTAAAAATTTTAAAACCAAGTAAAGAAAATGTAAGAAATAAATCGAATGGAACACAATATGTCAGTATGGTCTCTAAATGTCAATGTCTTTTATTAGCAATCCTTCAAAGTTTGAAAATACAGTTTTCAAAAGATCTCCATTACTTTTTAATTCATTTGACAAAATAAAATGTAAAAAAAAAACTCCCAACCACTAGAATATGGAAATAACTTTTACTTTACCTTCTGATCACACTGTAAAAAAGTGCTGTTCTTCATCAGTATCTTTGTATCGTTTTCAGGTGCAAATGTCTAAAGATCCTTAAATAAGATACACTTACTTGAGTAGCAAAATAAGAAGTCTCATTTTATGAGAAATTTAACAAAGTGAAGTTTTGAGTCTATGATTAAAACAAGAACAGATATCGGCCTATGGGCTAAGAAAAATTAAACTCACTTCATTTTGTTCAATTTCCTGCAGCTCATCCTGTCTCACTGTCCCAGCTCTGTCCCTGGACTTGCTCCTGTCTCTCAAGAATCTGAAGGGGGACCTGAAGCGCTTGCGCGTCTCTTCCTGTCCCTGTCTGCTCTCTTCCTGTCTGCCGCTCTGACAGGTCATCCTCAGGATCTGTCTCTGAAGGAAAGCCCCACCTATGCCATACGAGCGTCCTCCGGCCGTCCTGACGCCGACCTCGCTGGCTAGAGACGAGGACGAACCCGACAGGTTCAGCTGACCGCAGTTCTGTCTGGGAGCGCCGCCCACTGTGAGGGAATGATGGGAATATTTCAGAAACACTGAAGCTTGAATCACGAAAGACATGATTAACACTGTAAAGCCTGACATGTGAAATAAAAGTCAGAAAACTGAAACAGTTTACTGAACCTTTAGACAAAAAGGTTTTGTCTTATCATATTTAATACATCAGGCCTTTATGGCTCATATAGTCTGATATAGTGAGAACAGAGAGAGGGAAAAACAGCTCAATTTTATTCAGAGACCCAAACTGCGCAAAATATTTAATTTGGTGCTGATATTTACATGGACAAAAGTGATGAAATTCTGATGCTTGTAAGGTAAACCAATGAGATCTTTATAACATTATAGCAGAAACTTACATAAAATGATATAAAGATCATATCTCTATATCTCCAATAATATGTCTTAGTAAGATGAGATTTAAATGCTTAGCTTGATTATCAAAACATATAATGCAATGCAATACAATGATTGAGAGATGAATAAATAAATGCTCCTCAAAAGCCTGATGATCAGATTTGAGACTCACTGATTTTTCTAAAAAAAAATGAAGTTTGAATAATCAAGTAAAGCAAAGCTGCTTCAGTCCAGTAAGTGTTCATCTTAAAATATATTTTTGTCTTATGTTTACTTTATAAAAATCTGTAAAGATGTCAGGGCACAAAGACGGTGGAAGGTGGATGTTAGTACAGTTATACTTTTATTATAAACTATCACTTTCATCACGTTTTAATCCTGTTGATAATTTAGAGGCCTTCGAAATCTATGTATCAAATATAGTTAACAACTGCTTCCGTTTTGAGTAAATGAATGACAAGAGCCACTACTGAGCTGAATACAGCTGAACATCAGAAACTGTGTTTATTTTCAGGGTTCCCACTCTAAGCCAAATTCCCTGACTTTTCCCTGATTTTCACTTCCATGACCTATAATGAACGGAAAAACAGGCCGCTTTGCTGAGCGCTGAGCAGACAAAAAGACAGTATTTTAAATCCATCCATTAGCAAGCTTTCTTTACTTGTTCACAGACATTTTTAACGTGTGCTTAAATTAAACATACATACACACTACTTTTATTCGTTAAATGCACTTTGTACTATTTCTACAGAAATTAATTTATGGTTTTTATGCTTTCAGGGTTTCAAGGATTTTCTGTTTGTCATCAAGTCCACCATTCAATCTTTTTATTTCTTCACATTTAGTTTATCTACTTTTAACACCCAGTCTTTGAAGTGTTCATTTTGTAGCCAAAGCTCTTGAAATGTACATTTTCCTGGCATGTTTGCCTTAGTTAACAGGTACAGCCTGGTGACTGCATTTGACTTAAGTGATTGCCAGTTAATGAGCAGAAAGGGAATAAAATGGTGCTGAAAAACAGCGGCCTAACCATAACAACAGGCAAAACGCAATAAAAAAAGGCAGCGGCTATTTGCACTAAGCGTAAATGCACTTTGTACTATTTCTACAGAAATTAATTTATGGTTTTTATGCTTTCAGGGTTTCAAGGATTTTCTGTTTGTCCACCATTCAATCTTTTTATTTCTTCACATTTAGTTTATCTACTTTTAACACCCAGTCTTTGAAGTGTTCATTTTGTAGCCAAAGCTCTTGAAATGTACATTTTCCTGGCATGTTTGCCTTAGTTAACAGGTACAGCCTGGTGACTGCATTTGACTTAAGTGATTGCCAGTTAATGAGCAGAAAGGGAATAAAATGGTGCTGAAAAACAGCGGCCTAACCATAACAACAGGCAAAACGCAATAAAAAAAGGCAGCGGCTATTTGCACTAAGCGTAAATAGCAATGGATTCTATTTACACTATGATAAAATAGCAGGATTTTCTGCTATTTATACTACTTATTGCAAATAGTGGCAATTATCTGCACCTCAGTATTATAGTACATTATAAACCAGTATGCAGTAATAACGTATTGAGTGTAAATTAAATTTGAATTCAAATGATTAAATGGATGTCACCTTATTGGGACAATAAAGCACCTCCCTACACCAACCCTAACCCTACCTGATTCTTTATTTTCAACTTTTTGATTATTTCCTTAACTTTCATTGAAAATAAATGCCTTTCTGATGTGATATGAGATGTTAAAAGGGAGAAAAAAAAGTTCGGCAAAAGACGGATTCGAACCCGGCTCGATTGCGTCAAAAAGACTACAGTACGTGCTTTACCATCTACGCCACTGAAGCTGACGCTTGTCAGCCATCTTTTATAGTGTTGACCATCCCTGTCACACGTTTGGGGGTGGAGCTAGTGTAAATAGACACTCCATAAAAAAAAAAATACGGTATAGAAAAATTACATTTTGATAAATGGAAACTAAAATTTAAAGCGACAAATAAAAATCCCTCCCTGATATTGACGACAAAAAAATAAATAAAATCAAATAAAATTCCCTGACTTTCAATGTCTGGAATAGACCTTTTAAAATTCCAGAAATGCCATGCCCCGTGGGAACCCTGCATTTTAGTTTTCCAGTATCTGATATACAGGTGACTGGAGGTTTGTCGGGGTCGTACCTTTGCGAGGAGATCCCTGTGGGGAGACGGTAGGACTGGAGTGCAGAGACGAGACGGTGGCCGTGTCTTCGGCCGCACCAGCTGCTTTCTTCAGCATCTGAGGTGAGTTGGGAGCTGAAGAGCACAGCAGACACTGACACAGTTCAGAAAGCAGAGGGAGCCGTATAACCATCTCACTACACGCTAAACCATGATCACTTTGTGAGCTGCTAGCCACATGCCCTGCGTCCCAATGTTCATCCTATCCATCCTAAATAGTATGTGAGATTAGAATAAGTGTGTCCCAAAGCATAGTATGTTGAAAAGAGTATGCCAAAACTCCCCGGATGGTCTGCTATTTCAGGTCGATTTCTGAAGTGTGGATCCATGCACACTCTAATGGATAATATTGCCCACAATCCATTGCGCTTTGGCTAAAGATTCAGTTCAGAACTACCAACACGAATAAAACGTGTTAAAGAAATCCTACAAGCATGACGGATGTGCATGACTGACGGTTTATGCTGCATTCCAGACACCTCGAAATTAGGATTTTCCCCACTTCCTACTTAGAAATAATGTCTAGAACACCGCTTGAAGTCGGATATCCGACCTGTGAACACGGGGCAGATCGCATAAGTAGAGAGGTTTAGATAAAGGGGTAAAAAAAATATTTATTTAATGTTATCTGTGATATATTTCATCTGCAACAGCAATGTGAACTTGTATAAACATCCGTTTGGTCGTTAACTTTGAAATGCATCATTATGCAAAAAATATGAGCATAAAGACCCACGGCTGGCAGATCAACGTGCTACTTCTTTTCTCTCCAGTACAGTAGGAAGTTCAATTAAACGAAATGTGGAGGATGTTAACTGTGACAAGATGATTGACAGGCCAGTTTACAGTGACAGGGTGCGTGTATCTATGCGTCAGAGCGGTCTGTTAAAGACGCAGTTGTGTGACGTGATACTATGTCCCAAAGCTTGCCTACTTTTCTACTGCACACTCAAAAGTGTGTATTTTTCTTCACCAAAAGAGTGAACATTGGGACGCAGCAATGGACTCTTCCATACACATAATGAGGTTCACACTGAGAGACACTGCTGTGGTTATTTGTATCATCACATTCATTTGGTTTGATTTTTGCTACTTTTCTTGAGAGAGATGAAGACAGAAGAGGAAATGAGGGTGAGACTGTGGTATTATCGCTGATTAAATAAAACACCTATTAACTTTTCCGCACTATCAAATATGATTTTCTTATTTAGTTTTCCATTACAAATATTTAAACATTCCTAAATCTAGATACAAATATTTAAACATTCCTAAATCTAGATACATTAACTTGAGAAGTAATGTAAGCTTGAAACGAGACAAAATATCTGTTCGATTCTCTTTGGATTAAGTTTATTCTGTTTATTTATATCTGTTTTTCTTGTTTCAAGCATAAACTCACTTGATACAGAAAATAAGACCTAATATCATAGGTCATTTTTCTTATTAAGTATATCCATTTTGAGTTTAGAATTTCAGACATTTGTAATAGAAAATAAAACAAAAATACTGAGTAAGCCAATAATTTGATACACTTATTGAACATAATTTAATAAAATGTGATGATCTGGTTTATTTTGAAATTGCACAAATAATGTATAAAGCAAAAACCAGTTTACTTCCCAGAAGTATTCAGAGACTGTTTGAAATGAGAGAGTCAATATAAACTTAAGGGTAAAGAATAGACGAAAATCTGTCAAAGGGGTGAAATTATGGAATAACAATGACAAGAAATTCAAAATGTGTTTTAAAAAAAGAGTTATAAATAAGGTTATAAACAAATATGTAACTCAAAATGAATAATTTGCATATGAAATAACTTAAACAGTTGTATTAATTTATAAAATGTTCAATAATGTATAGTATAAAGGTCTTAAGCAATGAAATAAGTTTTGTTTTTGTATCTTTTTGTATAATCTAAATTTAGTAGAGGAAGTGATGCTTATTATGAAAAATTGTAAGTAAAATAAGCTTCAGCTTACGCCTTTTTGGTTACAATGTGAAATTATTATGAAACTGTGTATGAGGACTGAACAAATCTAGATGATGATGAAGAACACAGTCAGACATGCAGCATGTAATCTGTCACTTCAGGAAGATTGCGATGGGCCACGTACCGAAGGATGCGGACAGGTCTTTGGCGATGCTCTTCTTGCGCAGAGGGTACAGGCTGACGGGAGGCACCTGCAGCACCTGGGAGACGCGGTTCTGAGGCTTGGCTGAAGACACTCCGGAGCGCACGGACACCGGGGACATGTCTGATTTAGTGGACCGCCGCTCGTTTAGGTTCTTAGACACTGCGGGGAAACACACACAACACTTGCTGTCAGATGTTTCATTTGGAAAGTGTTTGTGCATCTTTCTTCAACATCAATGGCATTCAGATATGTGAGCCTGCAGCACAAAAGCAGTGTTAAGTCGCTGGGGGATATTTGTGGCAATAGCCAACAATACATTGTATGGGTCACAATTATTGATTTTTCTTTTATGCCAAAAATCATTAGGATATTAAGTAAAGATCATGTTCCATTAAGCTATTTTGTACATTTCCTACCATAAATATATCAAAACTTCATTTTTGATTAGTAATATGCATTGCTAAGAAATTCATTTGGACAACTTTAAAGGCAATTTTCTCAATATTTTCATTTTTTTGCACCCCCAGATTCCAGATTTTCAAATAGTCGTATCTCGACCAAATATTGTCCTATCCTAACAAACCATGCATCAATGGAAAGCTTATTTATTCAGCTTTCAGATTATGTAGAAATCTCAATTTCCCTTATGACTGGTTTTGGGGTCCAGGGTCACATATTTATTTGGGGGACCATCCGTCCTTGTTTCACGCCACGATTCGTCGTATTGGTCATACTGCTTTTCAGTCATTACCTTCAGCAAGTATGAAATTTTTTTTTAGCCAATTTAGAAAGCCTAGCCAGGACATATGGTCACCCTACATTTATTAATGTGACTGAAGAGCCCAAATACCTTCTTTAAATGCTAGGCTATAGTCAGGGATGCAAATAAGTGGTGCGCAGGTGCAAGGCGCAAGCACAACCAAAGTAAAATATGTGCTGGGTAAATAAGTTCAGACTGCTCATTTGCATACTGACATGGTTGACAGCTGTTGATGCACAATCACCATTTTAGATCGTCTGATTGTAATACTCCATTTGATTTCCATTTGAACTGAAAGCATAAATCTAGGCTTCTGTATGTTTTAGCGCTGTCGAGTGAAGCGCATCACTGAACGAAGTGTCAGTTTCACGTTTTGCTCTAAAGTTAAAGTTTGCTAATTTTAAGTATGGACATTTTTTTAATATATATATATATATATATTTTTTTTTTTTTTTGTATTATATAGTTTTTTTATGTAAAAAAAGAAAAGAAAATGAAAATTAGCATTGCATTTTTAAGTGTAATATAAAATAACTTTTTATTCAATACTCACTTTAATACTCACTGTGCCATACTATTACAATGAAATGCACAAGTCACTTTAATATTGGTTTTTAGGTTTCTTTTAGGACTAATTCATCTAATTTTTTATGTATATTTATTTATTTATATGTATGTTTTTTATAAGTGTGAATGTAGATGATTATAGTTGCATTTCCATGAGAGATGCGAAATTTCGTTGTATGCTACATGCAATGTAAATAAAGGTATTCAATTCAAATACATAAATAAATAGTGCAATACTACTGCTATTACTATTATTAATTCTTTTATTTTTTATAGTTATATTTAATGTGTCATATTATGTGTAGTGTGAGCACCAAATGCATCCCTGGCTATAGTAAAAAAAAAAAACAGTTCACACATTTCTACCCTATTCGAGATTAACGAAAAGAACCCAAACCACTCTACATAACAAGCTCAGTAATTCACGGTAATGTACACACGTGTGCTGTAGGCCGCTTCACACTGCAGCGACATGATCTGGAACTTCTCCTCGTCCGTCTCCACCTCCAGGTGTGCCAGGTACTGCTTCACCTTACGGGCCATCTGGGCGTCCTCGTACAGCTTCTTGGCGTTGAGCAGAGAGCTGCGCCGCACGCGCTTCTTGTGACTGCCCTGAACGTCCAGCAGGTTTGAGTTGGTGCTGCCCTGACTCAGAGACCTGAGGAAACGGATGAGGAGTGAGACCAACAGCTGACAAACATGCCAGGTGCTTCATTCCCATGGGCTGATGTTCACTAATAAATGGGAGGACAATCACAAACAGAAAAAAGACAGTAGCATCCACAAAAGTGGAATGGTGTCACGAATAAATGAAACTTGATGATATACAACTTTTTTTCTGGTCTTGCAAAAGAAAAAAATGCCAAATAATTTTTCATGTATAGTTTATGAGCTGCTTGCATGTCCACTACCGGTCAGTAAGATTTAATAAAATAATAAAACATTTATTCAGCAAGGATGCATTAAATTGATCAAAAGTAATTTTATATATATATATATATAAAAAAAAGAAATTTCTCTTTCAAATAAATGCTGTTCTTTTGAACTTCCTATTCATCTGTGAATCATGAAAAATAAAAAGTATCAAGGTTTCCACAAAAATATTGGGCAGCACAACTGTTTTCAGCTTTGATAATAATCAGAAATGTTTCTTGACCTGCAAATCAGTATATTAGAATGATTTGTGAAGGATTGTGTGACACTGAAGACTGGAGTTATGATGCTGAAAATTCAGCTTTGATCACAGGAATAAATTACATTTGAACATATATTCACATAGAAAACAGTTACTTAAAATTGTAACAATATTTCACAATATTACTGCTTTTGCTGTATTTTTTATCAAATAAATTAGCATAAATAGCCTTGGTGAGCAGAAGAGACGTTTTTCAAAAACATAAAAAATCTTAATTATTCCAAACTTTTGAAATACTTTTTGTATTTGTAGAACTCTATTTGTAATAAGTCCTTCCATTTATTTGTGAATATGAAACATTAAACCTCACATACTTGCCACTCTAAGCAAACAATGACTATAGCAGCGTAATGCGGCCATCCAACGTGCTCAGTTAATGCAAAAAATACACAAATAAATCAAAACCGACGACCACGATGTGTTACGTGAAGATCAATGGTTTAGAGGATGAGAGAGAGGAAGGAAGAGTCGCAGAAGTTGGTGTGTCCAGGTTAATGGTCATGACACATTCAGGACATGCAGGGCAGCACACTTACCCTAAACTCTTCCACCTCTTCTTCCTGTAAGCAAAGCCCATGAGAGGCAGAAAACAGGTGAACAGAAAGAGAGAAACACTCAGACAGACAGAAGGCACCACCAACAAAGACTACACTTGATCCTACCAGAGAAAGAGAGAAAACATCTGCTGCATGTGTGCAAGCGACTCGATGACAATGACTGAATTTGACATCCCCATAAGAGTGACATACCATTAGAAAGAAATAAGAGCTAGAACAATTTTGATTTCTTGTGGAGTTTCGGTTCATGCTCTTTGTGCATGTGTGCAAATGTCTGCAGTCTTCACCTCTGTCTGAACATGAGCGCTGGGTCCATGTTGGCTGACGTCATGCGCACCACATTTCGTATCTCCTTGGCGATCATTCGTAACTTTTCGAAATTCACCAGGCCGTCAACACTCGAATCGTTACCTGAGAAAGATAAGAGATGACGGACAGTTTTAAGACCTGACACATGAAAGTATTTTTAACAACGCAGACACTTGTGCAGAGCTGGGTAGTAACTGAGTACATGTAATCTGGATCCAAAAGTAATCGGTCTTCGACCCCAGAGGGTTAATGTTTGTTTATGTAATGCAGGGATTCCCAAACGTTTTTGTCAGCCAAACTCCTTAAAATAAGATGTTCACTTAAAATATCTCTGAAGAAGTAAATATTCCAATAATTTAACAATTTGCAAGTTTACAGTTCTCTGATGCCAGTTAATGGTCACTGACATGCAGGTGAAACAAATAAAATATTTCTACTTTTAGTGATCAAGTGTTTATTTTCATTTTTATAATTTAATTGTTAGTTTTTTATCAACTCACCAACCAACAGCAGTTCTTACATTAAGCCCAGTTTGGGAAACCGCGGTGAAATGTAATGTTTAATGCATTTAATTAGTTTTTTATATCAAATTTACATTTAATGGTAAATTAAAAACAAATTAGATAAAAAAAAGTAGTCTAAAAAGTAGTCAGAATACATTACCTAAAACAAGTAACCTAGATTACGTTACGAACTATGTACACTGCACATGTGTATTTAAGAAAGTAAACTTGAGCTACTGACCTTCGTGCAGGAAGGTGAGGTCTTTCTTGACCACGGGAAACAGCGGGATGATGGGAGGCTGTACGCTCTGGCTGCTCAGTATGTTGCGGTATTTGGCCATGTTGCGAGACGGGTCAAAGATGTCCTGAAGGTCACGGAAGAGTTTCTCATACTTACTGGGTAGTTTCTCCCACGTGCTCCTCAATCGAGCTACTGGCGCCAGATTAAGACCACTGAAGAGCGCATAAAAACACAGCACATGAACATCACGTACGGTTCTGCACTGACGTTCACACACTCCTTACAGAATCTGCCAGATGTTTAACCATTTGCAAAATAAGAGAGATTAAAGCTGCATTTTATCTGTTCTGATAAAGCTGCACAACTCACGCAAAACACTTAGGAGCCAAGAGTATGTCAAATTTTGAACATGATAATTTGTGTAAATTGTCAATTATGAATTATTTTGCCTTGTGGATAATTTAGAAATATCCATTAGAGGGCTCTACAGTGCGACCATTTCAGTTGCAATTGCAATTAAAAATTACTGCATGCAAATAAATATTTGGGCACACCAGTGTGGATGATCCGATCTACGGGGTGCTAGAGGGTGCAC